ACAGACTGGTGACTCACATCCCTAACCCTAACCCAACCTGTGGGCAGTTAAGAATCACCAGTTAAGCGGTTCATTGGTCAGCTGGCTTCAGGAAAACTGTTAAGTCATCATCATCATCATATATGTAAACAAGCTTCTTTTTTAATTAAACATGAGAAACCACCAACATGTTTTTATCCCATAGACTGAAATCAGTAACTTCTCTTAAAATGATTTAACAATCTGCTTCAGTCTGTCAGACATCTGTAATACTGTCTGTTATCCCTCGATGAATAAATGCATTCGTTCATGTTTTTACTGTCTTTGTTTTTTACGTTTAGTTACAATGTTTCAGTTTTTTATTAGGACAGAACATCTGTAGTATTTGTCGTGATGCTGTGATGATGTGACCTCATTTATTTCTGCATCTCTTCTGTAGAAACAACAAAAAAGACATGATTTTGAAATATTTATATAATATATTGAAACAGACGATTTACAGGTTTCTCTTATAATAATTAGTGATTCTGTTCATCGCACCCTGTCTGTTGTCACATTTTCTGAGGATGGAAACATTCTGACAGACTGGGCGGCCGATGCAGTCATGATGAGATGTTTCTGATTCTCTATAAGTAGAAAACAAAAACTTCAGCTTTGTCAAGAGTTTCTAGCTTTTAACATCCGTCCTCTGGAACAATACGACACTTCAGGATCTTCAGGTAGTTTTGGACCTTGTTGGAGTCTCGGCGAAAGCAGTAGAGGAGCTCGTAGTCTTTCATTAGGCGCCACTCAGCACTGCCTGGTGCCAAGAAAGCCTCAGGAGACATGAGGCTGCTGACGGAGTTACTTAATATTCCCAACATCTGCATCTGGTGTGAAAGGAACAAAACATATGGATGAGACAAATTGTTGATGTTGTTGTGAGTTTATTTAGTTTCTTTCACCCACTTAAGTCAAAAATGACAAACAAAGTACTACACAAACATAGACGATCTAAACCTCTGTCTCGCTCTGTGTCTCTGTTTCTGCCCTGGTTGAATTTTAACTACAGGAAAATAAGCATTTGAACACAGAGCTGTGTGAAACATCATCGATTAGACTGCTGCCCTTCACAGGCTTAAATATACTACAACAACATCTGCTGGTCACCGTCAGTGATTACAACAACAGGAGAACGATCTCAAGGCAGCTAGGGTAGTAGTGCGTGAGGTCCTTCTGTTGAACAACGCTCAGGATTGTCTAAGAGTCTGTTGTGGTCAGTGCTATCGTCTGTGCTGATGCATGCTGGGACGGCAGGTTGAGGGTAGCAGAGGCCAGTAACACTGTGGGGGCGGAGCTGAACACCCGTAGGGTTCAGCTCAATGTTGGATAACACCTCCCACCCACTCCATGACGTGCTGGCTAGCCACACGAGCACGCTCAGTGAGAGGCTGAGATTACCCATAATGCCCCACTGATCGACACAGGAAGTCATTCCTGCCTGTGGCTCCCTGTACAACTCCATTGAACACACTGTAAACACTGCATAGTTACATCTTTTCGCACACGCTCTACTGTAAAATAGCAAATGACAAAGTTCACAGGTTAATCATGAATATTACACCTCTGTAATAGTAGGGGTGGGGGAAAATGGATACTGTGTAGCATGGTGAT